CAACAAGGCCCAGGCTATGTTCAGAACACACGGGAAAAAAACAAAGAATAATGAAGAAACTTCAGAAACAAAGATACTAGAACGACAAAAAATAGAGACCGAAAAGACGGAAAAGGGAGAGAAAGAAAACAGCAAAACAAAAAAGCGGCAGAAACGGAAGCTAAGTCAACATAACACTGATTTAAAAATACAGTCAAACAAAAGTAGCGAAAAAGCAAAGAAAGCATCTAAGTTTTAGAGACAGTTTATTCAAGCAGAGAGACCCTTGTCAAAAATATAGATAAAAGAAAATGATTACATTACTAGCTGGAAAAGCACCTAATGAGATGCTATAACACTAAATCATGCAGTTTTTATGAAAGCCGTTTCAAATTTGCTCAAATTAATTCAATGTGATCAAATCTATTCTCTTGTGAAGACCAAATGTATCGGATATGCTCGCAGCAAACCAACTCACTGAATTTTTTTGTTAGAGCTATGTTAAGCCTCGATCTATTTAAACTTAATATAACGAGGCCAAACTGTGCGTTTTGAGAATTGTACGTGGATTTCCAACAGGCAAAATTTAGATTTGTCGCGGAATCCACAACATTGCTATTTTTTTTTAAATCTTCTCTGCTGTTTTGGATTTCACGGATAAATAGCTTAAACACTGTGTTGCTCAAAATTGCTTCAAAACAGGCAACTTTGCGGAATCCGCAACAAAGTGTGTGGAATTGGGAACCAGTTTGTAGAATCCATGAGCAAATGATAATATATGTCTTTAGTAAAGTTAAGCTGTCGCGAAATCCGCAACTGTAAGTGGAATCCGCAAATTGTAAGCGGAACCCGCAAATTGTAAGCAAAATGCGCATAAGTTTGCGGATTTTTTGTACATTTGCGGAATCCGGAATGACTATCTATGTTCGCTCATTGCAGAATCCTCAACAAAATCATTGTGCCGACAAAAATTACGTCACTGTTGGACCGGAGTTATTTGTACGAGGAATCCACCAAAAATTTGTAATGCTTTTGTAGTGTTTTGAGTTTTCTTCTTGGTTTCTTTGTTTTTGATTTTACGATATAAGTTGAAAATGGTCATACGATTTTGCTCTCTATTCATTTAGAGAAAAATAAAAACTAAATTTTCAGCTCAGTAGCACCTAAAAAACGATCTGTAGATCCCATGCTAATTTTCTAGTTATTTGTAAATTTACTGAAGTGACATTTTTTGAACTAGAACCTCGAATCGATGAAAAACACTACAAACAATTAAGGGCCAGCTCAGAGAAGAACCAGCCAAAAAGGCACTCAAAGTAGAACGAATCAAGGAAGCTAGGTCAACATAACATTCATTCAAAATGCACTAAAGCCAAAGTGGCGAAAAAGCAAAAGAAAGCATCAAAAGTTTGGAGAAAGATTAATCAAGAAAACAGACCCTTGTCAAAAAGATAGATAAAAGAAATGGCCAGAGGAAAAGTGGGGCAAATGCAAAACTGCATGCTGAAAACTTCGAAAACAACAAACTCTAATTTGTTTCTCATATCAGTGGTTTGGATTACATTACTAGCTGGAAAAACACCTAATGAGATGTTATTTCACTATGTCATGAGAAATTTATGTAAGTTGTTTTAAGTTTGATCAAATTCATTCAGTGTGAAAAAATCTAATCTATTGTGAAGACCAAATGTACCGGATCCGGATGTGCTCGAAGCTAACCAACTCACTGAATCTCTTTTTTGTTAAGCTAATGTAAAAACTCGATCAATTTAAACTTAACATGGTTCTGATTCATCAAATTAAATCAAAGTTCGATTACACAATTTCTCCGATTCTATCGGACTAGCGAGACACTGTCGGAGAAACGGATCAGATCCAACTCAGTTTCTAATTTGCTCTCTTCGGTTTTAATTTTGCTCACAATTTTCGACAAATTCGTGGTTTACAAAAACTATTCGGAAACAAACAACACTCGATTGGCCATAGTTTGGATTACCTCCTGACAGTCGAACTAAACTCATAACTCATGTTTTTTTTGCGATTCAAAGAACTTTCTGTTGTCTCAATGGCTGCTGTCTGAAATCGATTAAATGCGTACCGTAGGGAACAAAATGAGGGCTTTTGAAGTCCTAAATGCTAATTTATCTGTCCTAAATGCTCTAATTAGAAAGCAAAAAAGTCATTTATAGTGTCTCATATGTTGATTTACTTGACTTAGTTTCTTAGTATATAGTTTAAAATAAAAGATGATAAATTTGTCTTGAGTTTTTTAAAATTTAATTAGTTCCCTAATGAGGCGATAAAAAATGATAGGCAATGCGATCCGGTGGGTTGCGAAAATTTGAAAAGTGTTTTAACGTCTTATGTTTAATACCTGAACAAATCTTAAAGCATTGCCTAAAAAAGTAGAAGCCAGAAACAAAATCTGCGAAAGACTGACGAAATTTTAAATCCAATAACATACTGCGCAGTTCAGTGAAGTTAAAGGATTTCGCAGCAAAATGTAAAAGACAAGCATCGTTCGCAAAATATTCTCACAAACTATTACTCGCGAAAGAACTTCATTATTATCTCAAGTTGTTACACTTTGTTTTTTGTTCATATTTTTAACCAAGTTTAATCCATTAAATGGGCTATATCTTTTGATTAAAATAACCCAACATTGTGATTCTTGGCAAATAGATTACACTTGCATTTTCACACGATAAAATGTCCGGCGTGAACATTTGTTCACAATGGTGTGAACACTTATTGTATTATTTTCTGATGGCACAGGAAACCCCAAATTCTGTTAAGAAATCGGATTATACAGCTGAAATAAAGTGGCCAGAAGCAAAGCCAGATTGCCAATGCCTTAGGGATTTCTCGTATGACTTTGCACAGAATCCTCAAATTGTATGAAGCAGAGGGATCAGCTGCAAAAACAAAACTGAAAAGAAAAGTGTTACCTTTCGCGAAAAAAATCGGCTTCGACGACTCATCAAGAAATACCGAAATGGATCAGTTCGAGAGATCACAGGACATTTTAATCAAGGTCAGGACACTAAAAGGTGTATATCCTTTGTATTCAAACAAATAAATTTGCTTGGCGCGTCAAAAATTGTCCCGAAAAAGCAAATGGTTATCAGGAAATATAACAAACTTCGTCGTAGAAAGTGGGCTCGTGAACGAAAATCTTGGAATTTTCTATGCTGGCGAAAACATATTTTTTCAGACGAGTGCAAGGTCGAAGTGAACACAATTAAGAAGACTCTAGTCTGGAAATTCAAGGCGGATCCTGGATGGATGTATCCCCAGGAAAGGAAATCAAAACGCATTTTGTCCGTAATGACTTGGGGTTACGTGACCTACCACGGAATTCGCAAATTAGCGATGATTAATGGAACTCTCAACAACGAAAAATACAAGAAAATACTAGAACGATTTCTGGCGGATGTTATCAACAGCTTTCACGGAGACGAGTTTGTTTTCCAACAGGACAACGCTCCCTGCCATGTTTCAAATTTAATGAATACGTTTTTCACAGAAAAAGACATTGTAACGACTACATGGCCCCCTCAATCCCCCGACATTAAAATCACCGAAAACCTGTGGAAGATGCTGAAGAAATCTCTAAAAGATAGCAATATCGAAATTCGATCTAGAGACCAGTTGTATGAAGAAATAGAAAAACAATGGAATCTGATTACTCAAGATGCCATTAACAAACTGTATGATTCCTTGTCTCGGCTCATGGCTGAAAAATTGAAGATGAGGGGTGAAATAATCAAGTATTAGACCTTTTCTATCTTTTTTGTTCCGCTATTCTATCTGTAAGACAGAGCAATTTAAGTATATATTTATGTACATTGTGTTTTTTTGTCGCAAAATTGTAACAACTTGAGAGAACACGACTGTAGATGTTTTTGAGAACGTTATCAAAACTTTTCAGGAATTACAGTTGTGTTCATCTTATGTGCGACTTCGCAAACGTGAACAAAGGCACGTATTCAAGCTCGAAAGATTGCATCAGCCACGTATTATTATTCTACAGATACGACTCTTTCAAGGCTGCAGAATTTGCTGAAGTGTTATATAAATTAACATCCGAAATACACAAGTTTCATAACAACTGCCAGTCGTTTTGAAGCTAACGGCTTCAACCACTGGGTTTGGAATGCTACATCACAGACAACAAACTAGTAGTCAGAAGCACATATCTTTAATCTTCCCAAGTGTTTTGAGTTTTCTTTGTTTCTATATTTTTCGATTTTACCATATTAGTTGAAATTGGTCATAAGATCTTGCTCTCAATTCATTTAGAGAAAATTAAAATATCATTTTTCAGGTCAGAAGCAACTGAAATTTGATCTGAAGATCCTATGGTGGTATTCCAGGCAGTTGTAAATTTACTGAAGTGCCTTGTTATGAATTTTTGTAGTTTTTCTGCCTAAGAAAATTTTTATTTTAATAGTGTTACAATTTGTGAAGGAAATCCAAAACAAGAAGGCTTAATCAATTGTCACCGAATTCTGAATACTTCATCGCTAGCCAAAATCCACCTTGAGTTTAGCAATTGCCATTCGTTTTCAAATTTTGAATTTTTTTTCTAATTTGATGCAGATTATACGGAAAGCAGTAAAACGTAAAATGAACGAGTTTTGCGTAGTATTTGAAAGTAGTTTAGGTTTAGAAATGAGTATAGATTTCAAACGTAAGAATAAATTAGTCAACAGGGCTAGCTCTTTTACCAGACCGACCTTTTACTAGACTGACTTTTTACCAGACCGCAATGCAAATAATCAATTAAAAATATGTTAAAATTAATGGAAGATTTAAAAAGGAAGCCGCCAGAACAAACAAAACTTAGTTGAGAAACCGTAAAATCATTGTCTTTAACCGAACTAAACGGCGTCATTACATCTGTCAACTAAATTTGTTTATCGAGTCTGGTAAAAAGTTCATGTTATAATTTTCTGGTAAAAGGTCGGTCCCCATAGTCAACAGACAGATCGAATAAAGCAATGACTTGTTTTTTCTAGTTGGACCCATTGACTTCATTGCACGTGAGCTGGAAAAAAGGGGGGAACCAATCAGAAATCTCAGCATCCTGTACTTTTGTCATTTTTCACTTTGGAACTGTGCCGGAGAAAAGTATTCTTCAGTAGATCGACTGAAATTCTACGTCGAACTGGCTAGGAAATTTGGATGTTTGGAACATGATTTGAGTCGAATCTACGGTACTGAGACCTTGTTGACTCTGACATTGAGAAAAAGAATTTTGACAAAACATAGAGCGGAGCGTGTGAGTTTGCTTCTTGATAACGGTTTCCCCATCCACAAACTTTTACATCCGCACAACGGATTGGACAAAAATGCATTTGAGACTGCATTTTCTGACTCGGATTTTGCCCTCATCCGAACACTTCTTTCTGATTCTGAAATAGAGAGTGAAGCAAAGAAGATGAAGACCGACAAAATTTCGCATAATCCAAGAGCAGAACTGTTTTATCACAATTTTGCTTGTGTTCCGCGAACATCGGCAACAATGGAATTAATTAGAGAACAATATACAAAATTCATGGACTCAAAGTTAGATGGTCGAGGCCTATTACTGAAAGCTTGCAAAACCGTTTCTGCTGATAACATAAGTTGGGCTAGTGACCTGCTGAAACAATTTGATCACTTGCTAGAAATTGAGATGTGTCACATCTATCCGGGAAATGTGACGCTGTTGACCACTCTTGTTGACGATGGCATCAATTCTACAGAGTCCACGACCGGTAGGCCTACATCATTACAGTTTATCTGTGAAGTAACAACTTCTGCAAATCAAGTTCGCAAGCTTGAACTGAAAGAATAACAGTGACATGATTCAAATGTTCAATTGACGAAATCAAAGTTTCAAGAGGAAAAACGAGTACAAAAAACTTGTGTCGTATGCGTATTTTTTTGACTTGGAAATTCGACTTCGTATCGTCTTCTCAAATCTAACTGAGGTCTAATTCTCTTTTCACCGGAGAGACAGCAGAAGAAATAACGCCATGATGTTTTTGGCATCAGAGGAAGTACCGGATTTGGGGGGACGCCCCCTCCCTTCAGGGATTCGATCCCCTGTCAACACAAAGGGTCCCCCATTTGTACTATTTTGAGATATCCATTTTGGCTGTTTGACCTTTAATTTTTTCTTAAGGCGACTTTGGAGCCAATATATACAAATTTTGAGGGGGGAGCGCGCCAAAAAAAAGGTATTTTGGTTTTATTTTCAAAAATTTGGCCAAAATATGGACTTTTTACTGATTTGTGAGAGCTCGAAAATTAATTTGGTCGACCAAGAAAAAGGTCGACAAAATTTTGATTTTTTTTTTCAAAATCAACCCCCCACCCCCCCCTTTGAAAAAATCCTAGATCGGCCCCTGATCAGAGGAAAAAATCTGTTTTTTTTTACCTATAGGCTAGATTAAAGCTTTGCGTCAATATACTTTTCGAAACTCCGCTATTTTCAGTTGATTTCTCAATTCACACCAAAAATGTTTCCGACTTTGGTTGAAATCTTTGTGTTTTTAGGATCTGATCAAATGTGTGCGTGCATGGAGTTGTTGTTTAAGAATGGCTTTCCTCAAACTCAAAACATGCTCTGCCAATATTTCCACGATAATGGCCAGACCTGTGTATTGGGTATGCTGTTAGGAAAGGAAGGCAACGAGGTTATAGAAGGAATCATTCGTTATCTTCTATCAGACGAAGTTCGTAAAACAGCGTTTCAATCTAAACACGGAGATGCGATTAATTTAACAAAATAACTCATTCTGGAATGTGGGGAAATGAGAAAAACGGACTAGACTTTAGATAGGCTGGACAACTTTTCATAGCTCCTCTGTGAATCACAGGAACGACTGTTATTATTATGACTATCATTACAATCATACGAAAGTAACGGAATATTTTTTTCGGGGTGCGTTTTTTTTCTTCAGACAAATTTAGGCTTTTTAACTAGCCATTTTTGACGGAAATTCTTTTTATCATTCGAAAGGTATTGTTGTCTTGAGCTCAAATTTGAAAAGATATTTTACTTGTGATCGCTTTCCGTAAAGTTATGAGGGTTTAAAAATTGCCATTTTGGCCAGTTTGGGACAATTAACGCGCGATATATTTCGCGCTATAAACGCGTAAGCGGAGAGTTAATCTGTCTTATAAATCGTTTCAAATTGGTTGAACGAAGCTTATTTGCCATAATTGATTTGTTACAAGGAACGAAATCTATCCTTTTGTACTTTATACGGCGTGTGGGGGATGGTTTTCACAAAAATTTCAAATTTTAGAAAAAAAAATTTTCATTTTGTTTTATTTCATTTAATTTTTTGAAGTTTTTACTGCTCCATAAACCTGAAAAGGCAGTCGGAACATTCGGGGCTTCGCCCTGATACGTGCAGTCTTGTTATTATTATTATGATTATGATTATTATGATTATAATTATTATGATTGTTATTATTATGATTATTATTATGATTATTATGATTATTATGATTATTATGATTATTATGATTATTATGATTATGATTATTATGATTATTATGATTGTTATTATTATTATTATTATTATTATTATTATTATGATTATTATGATTATTATGATTCTTATGATTATTATGATTATTTTTATTATGATTATTATGATTATTATGATTTTTATGATTATTATGATTACCATTATTATGATTTCTATTATGATTATCATTATTTTTATGTTTGTTATTACGATTATTCCTTTCCATAATTCGTCAGAAAAACAGACTGCTCTTGTATCCGGGCAAAACCCTGAATGTTGCGACTGCCCCTTAAGTGTTCTCGAACAGTTTTGTTCAAAATTTTATTGATTAACTCTGTAAATTTTTTACTGCCAATATCATATGCAAGTGCTAACTTTTGAGTAGAATTAGTATGACCAAATGCAGTTAGACTCAATTCAGTTTTTTGCAACAATTATGAAAGCGGATCATTTTCCACGCATGAAACATTAGCGTATAGAAACTATCAAAGTATTATTGAAGCAGCAATTCCATCCGCATTTTAGTCTAGCACAAACATACTTGCTTCGCAATCCAAAGATTTCCAGATCGATACCCATACACGTTCAACTTTTCTAGAATCTATCTGAATTTGGTTTAGGAAACCACCCCAATCATATATATACCACATTTTCTTCGAAAGTCGGAACAACAGAACTGCTCGTATATCAAAGTGAATGTTCCTGAATGTTTCAACTGCCCTCTATAGTCGATCACAAGCTTTTTGGTGCAAAATTTCTGATAAAGTATTTGAAAAAAAAGACGTTTTTGAACACTTTTTTAAAAATTTTTGTTTCTGAAAATGTAAACTACCAATTAATATAATCTGCCTGAGGTAACGTATTGATAAGAATAAATCGCTTGCTTCAGTTCAATTTGAAATACTAAACTTGCCGCTTACGCTTCAAAAAAAGTCGTCAAAAAACGGAATAGTCCCGAATTTTAACCATCATGACCATGAAAAATTGATGGTAAAAGACATTTTGTCCTAAATGCTTAATCAAAAGTCAAAAATTGGATAAAATTATCACCCCAAGCATAATTGTTCCGCATTTTTTTTTCAAAATCGGAACAGAAACTTCGGTTACGTTTTAGGAACAGTATAAGAGCAAAGTACCGCGAAGGATAACTCGTAACAAAAAAAAATTCTCAAAACTTAAGGGAATATACAACTCGCATAGTTTGAATCAAAGACAAATCAAACACCATTTTTTTTACTAAGTGATTCATATTTATTTTATACTTTCACATTTTTGATCGCCGAGTTGCGCATCATACACCACAAGTACCGTGAGGCGACAGTTGGTCGATAACGACAATTCGTTACAGCGACAGTTATTAAGTTTTACGCGGTACGTCGCAATCTGTCTCATACATGTTTCGTGCTAGCAATAACCGAGACACGAATTGCTTACAAAACCGCATGGCGGATGTGTAGCGCTCACCACCAGGCCACAGAAAGAGGACTTCAGCTACTATTTGTCACATGGTCCGATTTGTCGCATTCTCTTAATACTACACCTCTTGTTGCTTTCGACGAATTGTCGCCTCGACCACAAACACTAGTCGCGTACTTTCAAGACTAATTTCTGTGAAAAAAAATTAGTTGAAAATTCTATTATATAGAAATTGCACGGCTAAAAATGCACGGTAAAACTGCTCTAACAAAATAAAAACAAATTGGGATGATCTCTCACAGCTGATCTTCATCGTCCATAGATTGAGTTTTTCAAAGAATAATCTTTCTAGCTTTATATACAACGTTAGGTGTTTTGTACGTAATTATGTGTGAAAATGATCATTTAAATTCACAAGTCAAATCATCAAAAAAATTTCATCTATCTGTTTGGGACAAATTAAACTGTGAGCTTCCTTGTAAGAAAAAATTTTGTTCTTGTCTTTTCGGACCAAACAAAATTTCAAAGCGTATCTTATAATCTAGAAAGGTATCGTTAGAGTTTTGGTGAACCCGGGTACTAAAATTTGTATCGTAGGACGTTTGCAGGGAAACTATGTTACTTGTTTTCTAACAAATTCAAGCGTACAAATTCCATATTGACTTAAGCAATGAGTCTACAATGTCGCTATGATTTTTTACATGGACATTTTTTTTCTCCGATAATTTAGGCCAGTTTATTATCCAAATATGCTCGTATGTCAGGTCAAAGCCCTAAATGTTCCAACTGTCCCTTAATTCATATAGAATAGTATTTGGAAAAAGAAAATTTTGAAAACCTATAAATTTTGGACAATATCAAAGTGTGAAATGTTGAACCGTACAAAATTAATACGACCGATCCGATTAGCTAGCCTCATTTCAATTTGGAACGATTTTGTTATGCTGGATAATTTGCGTTACGCTCTCAACAATATGAATGCATTCTTCAAAACGCGCATAAATTAGTCCAGAACATAGCCATTTTGGCAATTTTCAAAACTCAGAAGTTTACAAAAAATGATCGGAGGCAAAATGTCTTCTCAAATTTGGATTCAGGAAGCGGATATCTTCAATGTGGTATAAAAAATTTTTTATCGAAAACAATTATTGCGATCGGCGGAAATTGATTGAATAAAAAAACACCGAGCCTAAATATTCTGTTTTCTTCGAAAGTCGTAACAATTAACACAATAAACATGGCTATTTCGCACTCACTGGAAACCTGACTTTCGATACGAAACTAACGGAATATTTGTGCTCGGCGTGGGTTTTTTTTTTCTTCAGACAAATTTCGACTTTTTAACTAGCCATTTTTGACGGAATTTTTTTATATTATTCAAAAGGTATTGTTGTCCTGAGCTTAAATTTGAAAAAATATTTCACCTGTGATCCTTTTTCGTAAAATTCTGAGGGTTTAAAGATTACCATTTTAGCCTTTTTGACCAATTTGGGACAATTAACGCGCGATATAGTTCGCGCTATTAACGCGTAAGCGTAGATTTAATCCGTCTTATAAATCGTTCCAAATTAGTTGAACGAAGCTGATTTGCCATAATTGATTTGTTACAAGGGACGAAATCTCTCTTTTTGTACTTTATATGGCGTGTGGGGGGATGATTTTCATTAAAAAATTTCAAATTTTAGAAAAAAAAATTTTCATTTTTATTTATTTCATTTAATTTTTTTATGTTATTACTGCTGCTCCATAAACCTTAAAAGGCAGTCGGAACATTCAGGGTTTCGCCCTGATACGAGCAGTCTTGTCTTATGTTTAGTAACAGATAGAAAATAAATGTAATAACTCGCATGTTTTTCATTGAAATTTAAATGATATTTCTCATAGTATTGTTTAAGAC